TGATTTTCTCTTATAAATACTAAATTTATTTAAAATATTAAATTTAAATTAAAAAAATTTGATCTAAATGGTTGAGAAACTAAAAAGAGGATAGAGACAAACCATTTTGGTATTACTGGTTTAAACATAGCATCACTGTCAAAGTTATAAGGATTATTCTGGAGAGTTAAATCTGATTAGCATCTGTTATCTCTTATTAAAATAAAAGAAAAAAATCATGTATGCATTTTATGACAATTGAAGTTAATAATCTATTGATATATAGTTAAAAACCTATCATGGCCTGCCCTCGTGAGGGCATTGAAGTTTTTAATCCTAGTGTATTATTGATAGCCACACAAAAAAAAACCTATCATGGCCTGACATTTAATTTACTGTATATAGAAAACTATCAACAGATTATTTAGTTAATCCTCTAATAGAAAGTGTTATTCTACTCACGCATAATTAATATCTCGTTAGTCAAATTAAAAGGAAGATCAGTGCTCCCGCATTTTCAGAAAAAAAGGTATTGGAAAGTGAAATTTATGGAAAATATCTGTCCTTTAAGAAGAAGATAAATAGATAATTCCCTTCTACTCGATTAATCATATACGTAATGAAAGTAACTTGACCTAATTACTTTTCTGACTTGGTCCAAAGAAGATGAAGGGTAAGCATATAATTCTAATTCTTAATTTTATCTTGAATTTTGCTATTATTTTATAATTTTGACTTTAAGTTAATGGTGTGTAGCACCTTAATCTTATTTTGAATATGCATCTCATCTTATTTATGATACAACTAACACCCTCTAAAAGATTCAAGTGCTGAATGTAATCCTAAAAAAATAACATTGAGGTATTATATGTACTTAAAAAAAAAATTTAACATGAGGATTTTGGATACCGCTTTAATTTTAAATTAAGTATCACTCTCATCCCTTAATTTTGTTTTGTTTTGTTTTTCTCACTTGAATATCTCTATTTTATTATAAGGTAATCAATTTCACTTTATTCTATTTGATACTACTATTTTCCAAAAAAATGTGTGTTTTTAAAAATTAAGGAGAGATTAGCAGTGTAATAATTTACTAATGTTGAATGAAATTTAAAGAATAATTTTGAAAGTAAATTAAAAACATGTAAACTTCTTTCTTCTTTTTTTTGAAAAAACCTATATAAAGTGAAATGCATGTTTACATATAGCATGCAGAGTATTATATAAGTAGAGAGGTTTGAAAAGGCAAATATATAAATTGATTACGAAGTCATCAACAAATAGACTCATAATGTGAACATAATTGGAGATGCATGCATACATATCAGAAATATTATATTCTTCATTGCATCCCACTGCTTTATAAAAATATGACTATGAACCAAAATGAATCTTTCAATATTTAAAACTTTAAATGCTTCATGTGGCCAACAGATTTAGAAGATCGAGGCTAATATGAATAGTGCGATTTTGTAAGAATATGAACATATTATAATTTATAGTCTTCAAATATTTTTTAAAAATTTCCCAAAAAGAAACATAACGTATATAACATTATGGGTGCTTGGAATAAACTAGTCTTGGGGGAATCTTTCGAAATGAAGACATAATCTCCTGCGTGCACAAGTGTACGATCTAAAATTAAGGTGATAAACACGAGCACACATTGCTGGAAATTAACAATTATAATTCAAGAAAAATTAATTATACGGTCTGTGTGATTTTTACTCAATTTGCAACTTAATAATCCTTATAGTTATGACTCAGTTAAAACTCAACTCCTCAATTCTAATTCAATGTACCCGAATGCAAATAATGTTTACCATTTTAATATTGATTCTTACATTTTAGAATTAAATAAAATTATAAGGACTAAAGTTATGCTTTTAAATTCAGGTACTAATGCTTGAAATGGTTAAAATCGAGGTACTAAGTTGCACCAAACAAAGTTCAAGAGCTGAGTTTCAATCCAATCAAAATTATACACTCGAGTAAAAACTTAGAAACTAAGTTACAATCGAGGCAAAATTACAGGAACTGATTAATTATTTTTTTCCCTGATTTTAATCATGGCCGTATATGGCCCATAGGTGCTCTAACACATGAAATGCTATAGTTATTTGAAAATGGCAACATGTTTATGACATGAAAGAAAACGATATATATATATATATATATATAAAGTGTGGGAAAGTGGGTTTCTGCAGAAGAAAGGAAGAAAGTGGAGAAGAAGGCTGTGTAATATATATGGGACATGTTGTACCAATATTGTACTTATCTTCAATCATTTCGATCTCTTCATAACGTGGACACTTGGTTCCCACTTCTTACATTTCAATGTGCACCCCATTTCCATCCATCCCATATGCTTTCAATCTCATGTTTAACCATGTTTATATATTACTCCATTCATCCTATTCTTCATTATGACAAGTATGAATTTATCTTCTTAAAAAAATATCCCTGTATAATATCATATTACATATTGATTTATAAGTTAAATAAATTAATTCAAAAAAAATATGAAAAATAAAGCGGACTAAGTTCTTATAATATACTCCCTGGTCTCTCTTTATAAGAAACAATCTCTCTTATGTTGGTGTCTCTAGATATAAGAAACAAATCATCTCTATCTAAAATTTTAAACTAGTATTTTTTTTTAACCCTCATTAAATATATGTCACTTGTTATCTCTCTGCAATAAGTTTTTACTCATTATTTTCCATGTTCCCTCTTTATAAATAAAGGTATAATTAAAAAAAATATGTGTCTATTTTACACATTTATCACTTTTAATTAAATTTAACTAATATTTTGAATAGCATGATTGTAGCAGTTGCTTCTTATAATAAAGAAGTAATTAGGATCAAATCTAACCTCTCTAATTAACTCCAATATCAACAATCGGAGGTAGTAGTTAACATTATATAAGAAATAAGTTGCGTCTCAAACACTATCAACATCCATTGCTTTTTTTTAATCAACTAAATTTCTTTATCACGCGAGATTTGTTGGCACCACCTTCTTTACGTGTTGGATTTCTCACAATTTTTTTCACAGATTCTGTCTAAATTTTGTCATGCTATAAGAATCAAGAGAAATTAGTATATCAGAAATTTTTTTTTGTAAGGATTCCTCTCAAAGCATATATTTATTTTAAAAAGAAGTCATTATACTCTTCCATTGTACACGCATCAGTGTGTTAGTTGATATCGTAGTGATGGAAAGGTCAAAGTAAGGTCAAAATTAAATATGATAGTTAATTAAGCTTAGCTTATTCCTACCATAAGGAAAAAGAAGTTAATTATATAATGAGTCATTGTAATTAAACAAATTAAGATAACGTATAATTAAAACTTCTAATTAACTTTTGGTTTAATCATAAATAGTAGTGCTACTTCAACACTAACACTAATGAGCGCATACATAATCTCCATATATAACAATGAAAAGTTGTATAAAAGGACAAAAGCTTCAAAAAATGAAACAAGAGGGAAAAGTTAGGTCAGATGGCACATCGAAAATTTCAAAGTTTAATTAGAGATAATGTAAGTGTTGGGGTGGATATTGGAAATCCCACTTAGGCCACAATGGGAATAAAAATATATGAACATCACTTAGTAGAGAATGATATGAAAGCACTATTTTATATTGCAACCTAAAGTTGGGAAAACATTATACACTGTATCCACCTTCCTCACCCATATTTTATTATTCACCACTTCTAAAACATTACGTCATTATACTTGGACCAATCAAAAAATTTCAATTAAATTGATGAATATTAATATATATTTTTAATATATATACATGGTTATATATAAAAAAAGAAAATTTTGTAAAAACATATACTCCTTTGGTCCTATTTATAGGGCAGAGAAAGAAGATATTTTTTGGTCCTATTTATAGGGTACTGAAAGAAATTTTTTACATGGATTTATAATTTTACCCTTCATTTATTATTATGTTGACTTTATTTATATGAGGTATAATGTATATTAAATATGGATAAAGTTGGAAAGTCATTAAATTTTAAATGAGAATTAATGAAGTTTAAGGTTTTTTCTTGGTTTGTGTGAAATATACTGAAAATACCTTATAAATAGGACCATAAGAGTACTTGTTTAAAAGATTTATTTCCGAAGGTACTTAGCATAACTTATCTTCAATAAATACAAATCTTTTGAGTTGTATGTGAGTAATCTTGTCTTTAATTATATATAAAGTCACTCACTTAATTAAATTCAGATTTTTTAAATTAATAAAACTTTCAAATGGTTTTTTAAATTAATTTTTCCTTATAAAAATTTGTAGTAGTAGTAGTAATACTAATAATATTTATGTCAACATCACCACCCCTCCTCCATCAATTTATTTATTGAAACGTACGTGTCTTCAACTTTCCTCTTTTGTTTTTACAACTTCCCTCACACTCGGAATATATTATACTGATGCATTTCATTAATTATTCCCCCAAGCATGCCAAAATATTAATTTACGAAATTTATTTTTAAGAATAAATTAATAATTAGTACTGGTACACAAACACTATGAGGTCAGATTGATAAATAAAAAACCTGAAATGAAAATATCAATGAATAAAAATGACCTTGTACTTTTGTGGGGAAATAAAAGAATGTGAACGACAATAATATAATATAAACATTATATTTTGTGTGTATATATAATATATTCTATTTCTATATGATAAAAATAGAATATCTTTTCAAGAAAAAATATTAAACTGATCACAGGTCTCTTATGTTTGCTTATATATCTTTTTATTTTATTAACGTATATGATATGATAATAATTACATTGAAAACTACATGCAATATTATATAAGTTTTCTGTGAGCGATATAGAAGTTAATGACATGGTTGGAGCACTAAAAAGATTAAAAAAAGAGACACAAAAAGCTGAAGGAAAATTAAAGAGAAGAGAGAGTGAGATCATCGTGGGCAAAGAATACTTATATATAGGGCACCCTTTGTCATTCATTTCTTGTATGAAGTTCTGAAGCCAACCAAACTGAGAGCTTCTTCCTCTCATATACATCTCAACCGCATACATATAGTTCCCAGGTATGCTTTCTCTCTCTCTCTTCTCTCTCTCTCGCCTGCATGTGAGTGTGTTTTCTCCTTATACACAACAATACTGTTCAGAGTTCATTCTTCATGCAAAAACTTCTTACATGTATTATCCGCTTTTACTAATATAAAAGTTAGTCGAGAGTTAAATTTGGTTTAAATATAAAATCTCAATCCATTCTTAGAATACTTTTACCAAATTATCTCTATTGATTACACAAGTTAACAAAGCTTGTATCAAAGGCTAGTTCCAATATAAATGATTTAATAGGGTATTTTAGAGAAACCAAAACATATGTTTGAAAAATAACTAATTTTCTTATCTCTCTAAATTAATGTAAGTCTTATATCAAGGACTGGATATCAAAATATCAAAATTTCTTAGAGTTCATGAACAAAACCCTTGTGATCTTAATCATCGTTTAATTTGTACTATAGTGTTATTATCTCTCTCTCTATCTATATATATCTCACACACACACACTCACAAATCATGCATGCACAAATTGTTGTTTGTGTTCATGCATGCAAATTTGGCTCTAACTAGAATAATAGAATTATATTGGTTCATTTCATATAGCTATATTTGATCCAGCATGAAACGCACTACTTGAATTGAATGTATGTGTACTAATTGGATACACACAATTTATATTTGGAAATGAATGACAAGTTTCTAAGTTCCACTGAGACACAGCAATTGTGGAGGACAAGTCATCAAAATGGGGGTGGGCGCGTGGCGTCCTGCCTGGTCTTTTGTACGGATACACGTGTCGTACACTTCAATGCTTCATTTCTTTTCCTTAAAATTAATTACTCTCTCATTAAAAAAAAAAAGTAATTACTGTCTGGCCCCAAGAAAAAAAATCACATGAAACTCGAAGTTTTTTTTTTTTTTGGGGACCAACACGTAACTTTGAGATGAATCATTTTCATTATAATAAAACGTTTGTTTCCACTTTCCAGCTTTATTTAGTTGAGCACAACTTGTCTAATTTGTTGTCATTTGAAGCTTATTCAGGAAATATTCACATCCCCACTAAACCTCTTTGATTAATTTTCACTGATGGAGAAGGTGGTGGCCGACACTAGTCGAAAAACACATAAAAAAAACAACTACAAGATTTAAATGGTTCATATTTTATTTTCAAGTTTGATTTTTAAAATTAAAAGTTGCATGCGGAGAATGAAAATAGTTCTGCGTGCTTTTGATGAACCATATATATGATTTCTCATTGATCCTTCATGTACACTTGGCTTCTGCTTGCTTTAAAGTAAAAGTTTTACATTTCATTCTTTTTTTTTTTTATTGCTTTGGACAGAATATCATCATGTCTGAGAATAGCATTTTGCATGCAACTAAGAGCAAGTGGAAGATGCCTCTCTTTGTTTTCTTCAAAGACGCAAGGTACGAAGCTCTCGGTTAACTACATATGATAGTTATATCAGTTTCGTCATTGTTGATTTCTTCTGCCTAGAAATATCTCTGTTGTTAAATACACTATGTCACTGCATAAAACTTATAAGAAGAGAATTTTTTTAATATATTTACTATGGATAACACTTAGTTTCCACTGATTAATGTGGTGATGTAGACTTGTTTTCAAGCTGGATTCTCTTGGAAAGGAGATATTAGGAATTGCATTCCCAGCTGCTCTGGCTGTTGCTGCTGATCCCATTGCTTCTCTCATTGACACTGCATTCATAGGCCACTTAGGTACGTCTTCTCATTTCAAAACACACCCTTTTCAATAAGATTTTCCCTTAGATTGTGAACTAAATTACTACATACTTCTAGCCAGACTTGTTTACTTTGTTTTTCCCCCTCCTTTTTTGCTATAGGACCTGTGGAGCTTGCTGCTGCAGGAGTTTCTATCGCATTGTTCAACCAAGCTTCAAGGATCACCATATTTCCTTTGGTGAGTATAACAACTTCCTTTGTTGCTGAGGAAGATACCATCGGAAAAGTTCAAGAAGCAGAGAAGAGCTGACCGTTAGCCGTACTAAGTCTAGAGAAGCAATCTTGCCTGAGGATGATGA